GTGTTGCTGCTGCTGCTGCAGTTGCAGATGCTAAGCAAGAAGGAGAAATTTCTGTGTTCCTCTCTTCTCCCTACCGGTGTGCTTCTCAACCATCTCGCGTGTCTGTCTCCTGCTGCTGCTGCTGCTGCTGTTGCTGCTGCTGTTGCTGCTGCTGGTGGGTATTACTAGCTGCATGTTGCTCTGCAGCAACGAATGCTGCTGCTGTCTCCTCTGCATGCCGGATGACCTCCAGCGCATGCGTCACAGCAGCATCTGCTGCTCGCAGCCAAGCATACTTAACAGAGACTTTGATAGCAGCAGCAGCAGCAGCAGCAGCAGTTTCTGTATCAGAAGTAATCTCTACAACATCCTCCTCTTCATCAGCCACCACAACCTCTGGCGACATACTTGCTCCTGTTGCTGCTGCTCCTGCTGCTGCTCCTGCTGCTGCTGCTGCTGCTGTTGCTGCTGCAGCAAACCTCTCTGCACTCACACGCGCACGCTTGCTCGGCTGAGACCCACATACAGCGTCCTCCACAAGCAACACATCATCATCTTCATCCTGCTGCTGCTGCTGCTGCTGCTGTTTCTGCCGCTCCTGCTGCTGCTGCTGCTGCTGCTGCTGCTGCTTCGGGGGGCTGCTGCCTCGGCAGCTGGCTGCACTCGCCTCCCTCGCGGGGACGGCACCGCCCTCCTTTGACTCTCCCAAGACAGCCACATCCTCTGCTTCTTCGTGCTGCTGCTGCTTCTGCTGCTTCTGCTGCTGCTGCTGCTGGTTCTGCTGCTGCTGCTTCTCCTCCCGCTGTTGCGGCTCCTCTTCCTGCGCCTGTTGCTTCGTCCCTTGCTGCTGCTGCTGCTGCTGCTGCTGCTGCTTGGAAGGCTGCCCGCTGGCCGCCTCTGTCTCCTCACCCTTCTCCGTTCGGTTTGCTGCTGGCTTTGCTGCTGCTGCTTTCTTCAGTTTGCTGCTGAGGCGCAGCTGAGCCATCTCCCTCAAAAAGTCCTCCAACTGTTCTCTGAAACCCGCAGCAGCAGCAGCAGCAG